GTTTGAGTAACAAAAGGTTTTGCCACATTCCTTACATTCATAAGGCCTCTCACCACTGTGAGTTCTCATATGTGAAGTGAGAGATGAGGACCGACGAAAGACTTTGCCACATTCCTTACATTCATAAGGCCTCTCACCACTGTGAGTTCTTACATGTGAAGTGAGGTGTGAGGAGCGACTAAAGGCTTTCCCACATTCCTTACATTCATAAGGCCTCTCACCACTATGAGTTCTTATAGGTGAAGTGAGGTTTGCAGAGTTACTAACGGCTTTGGTACAAACCTTACATTCATAAGTCCTCTCACCACTGTGAGTTCTTATATGTGAAGTGAGTTGTGAGGACTGACTAAAGGCTTTGCCACATTTTTTACATTCATAAAATTTCTGTCCAGTAAGAGTTCTCACTGCAGTGCTGAGGTAAGAGGGACAACTGCAGACTTCTCCACATTGCTTACACTGATAGGCACTGTATCCAGACTGACGTTTGATATGATGCTTAAGTGATAAATGATCCATCAAGAATTTTCCACATTCAAGGCATTCAGAAGGATATGCTTCCATAGGAGTTCTTTTGAGTACAGAAACATTTGGAATCTGGCTGAAGGTCTGTCCACAATGATTGTCTTCATTACTTTCACAGAGGTTCTCTAACATATGCCTCCTGTTAAAAATAGGCAACATGATGTTGGACACAAACTTGTTACTATTACACCATTACAATACACATCAAACATGTTTTTTTACTCTGAACTCTCTCATGTTTCACAGATTAAATCATCTAGCAGATATTCTACCATTATTTTTGCTGTTTCTAAAATATGGTGCTCTCTAACAATTGTATTTGTGAAATGTTTCAAATATTTCATTTATGAAAATTTTGTCCTGTGAAAATTCAGCGAACACATAATACTAGAGCTGTTTTTTTATACTTATATAACTGGATGGCACAAGTCTGTACTGCCATACATATGAGCGTTTGTGTGTGTATATATAATTGTTCTTGTTAAGTGCTGCTGATTCCAGCTTAGTGACTCCATGTGACCAAAAGGCTAGTGGTTCAAAACCACCCAGCATCACTGTCAAGAGTTGGAAGACAAGACAGTAACAGGCATGAGATGTGCACACAAATAGAAATCCCTACCCCTTATTTATCAACTATCTCATTATCTGACGTTTCTCATTTGCGACAATAGAAAAAAAATCTACTGATTGTTTTGCATATTAATGAGGATCTCAGAATGACATCAGAGAACCTGGACAGCACTAACCCACGCCCTCTGGTCCCTCCTGCTGGCAGGGTTGCCACATCCAGCTGCTGGGCAGGGCCAGGCTTCTCTGAGACCACAGCATCCAGGTGGATGCACAGGCACTGCTCAGCCAGCAGGCACCTCTTTCTGGGTTCCTATCTCCTAAGCGACCTGAGGCCCTGCAACTCAAAATTGCTGTGGGGTGGAAAAGTAGGAAAAAAATTGCAATGGAGAGGGTGTTTGGAAGAAAAGCTTGCGAGTTTAATGACATCCCAAAGTGATGTGAACTGGGCCCGAAGCCTCCACCTTGGTGGGGCTGGTTGCATAGCTAGGCTCACAGCTCCCTCGCAAAATCCCCGAGCCTTAGTGACTCACCAGGCATGGAAAGCAGAATAGACTCTGGGATCTGGAACGCAGGGCTTGTAGGGGTGGGACTGGAGCCCTGGACGTGACTTCACGAAGGGAGCTCTAACGTAGCACAGGAGGAAGGTGAAGTGGTGAAGCTGTGGGTCCTCCAGGCACACAGCCTGGGTTTATTCAGCTTTGTCTCCTTTAACCCTCTTTCCCCACAAAGGAATAATTCGTAAATGACTCATCACATCAATGAATACATAAGCAAATCTTAGCTGTTGTTTTGTCTATGAACATATTTTCTAGATAAAAAAACTAGACAAATGAATGGTCTGAAAACATTTTCACATAATGCTGATTTTCGCAGAACTATCTGTTCTTTTGAAGCTAACCATATCGAAACGTGAGGACTGTGTGTGTGCATATACGTATATGCATGCATGCATACATACATATACACATACATTCATACATTACACACATATAGTCATAAAAACTCAGGAACCCTGCTGGGGCAGTGGTTAAGCACTTGGCTACTACCTGAAGGATGGCAGTTTGAACCCAAAAGCAGCTACATGGGAGGAAGATGCAGCAGTCCGCTTCCTTAAAGATTACAGCCTTGGAAACCCTATGGGGCAGTTCTACTCTGTTCTACAGAGTTGCTATGAGTAGAATAGACTCGACAGTAATGGGCTTCTATACATACACTTGTGTGTACACGCATATGTATGTGTGGGTGTGTATACTTGTTGTTTCAGTGCTGCCGAGTTAATTCCAGTTCATAGTGACCCCATATGGCAGAGAACTGCTCCATAGGGTTTTGTTGGCTGTAATTATTACCGAACCGGATTGCCAGGTGTTTCTCCCACAGAGCCAATGAATAGGTTCGAATTTCCAATCTTTTCATTAGCAATCAAGTCCCTAACTGGTTGTTACAGCTGGGGTCCTTAGGCATACAAATATTTTAATGTCATTATACCTTCTGAAGACTCTCCTGAAGCACTGCTGTATCGCGTAAATGACACTCACCTCACATGTGTTTTCTGGATGTTATTCTGATCTTGAGTGCCAGGCAATTCACAGATTTCTCCTACCATCGAGGACCATGTGTCATTTTTCATGAATCGTACTATTATATTTTCAGTGGATAGCTTGTCTCCGTCAATAAGGTTCTGAGAAGCTGACCCAATGATTTAAGGTGAGGTTCACAACATGAAACAAAAGGAGAGAAAATACTCAGAGGGAAAATGTAGCTGTACGCAAAGCTTCTGACACATTTTGCTGTTTCCATACTTTGGCAACGTTGAGAAAGCAATTTACTAGCAAATAACTTCCATGAAGATTGAGAGTGATGGGGACATAAATAGGGTGTAATTAGAAAATCAAAGTAGAAAGGTATTGGACACAATGTATGTGAAACATGAAAAGAGGACAGTCTTTCTCCATGAACCAGGTGTGTCAGGATTGATGAAAGTCAAAAAAGCAAGCTCAGGTATCTGTAAAGCACAAACTCTTCAACCCAAAAGAGACTTTTTCTAATTGATTTTTTCAAATCTCATTCCCTCCATGCAGGCCCAGTCCTTCAAACGATTCTTGCCTCCTGGTGCTCCCAATACAGTGGTCCTGGACAAGTGCTATCTGCACTTTCCTCAAGTCTTCCTCTTGCTACTCCAGGAGAACAAATGGGTGTAGCTGATGTGGTGATCATGGAGAAAGGCTTACCACTAAGGAAGACAGGGAGGAGCAATGAACACTTTCCTGACTCAGCCAAGACTTTGGTCCTCAAGCTCTCTGTTGATTCGCAGGTGTGAATTTATTTGTAGCAAATAATGATGTCAAATTTGTAATAAATAAAGACTTTTTCATGGTCCCAGACGACAAATATTCTCTGTGCACCAAAACCCTGAAGTCAACACTCACATTTACAACATTCAAAGAGCCTTAAGACTTTTAACCACAATTGATATGAGATGTCAGTTTAATACACAGAGCTCTGTATTCATGGGAAACCAACATATGCTTGTTCCAGAGAGCAAGTGACCATACTTACCTTATTTAACAATTTTTCCCATTTTTCTGCCCATACAGTGCAGTAATATTGATGGGAAAGACAGATTTGGTCACAAAATATTAAAAATGAAGTAACAGCTATAGCTGCGAACCAAAAGGTCGGCAGTTTGAACCCACCAGGAACTCCTTGGAAACCCTATGGCACAGTTCTACTCTATCGTATAGGGTTGCTAAGAGTCAAAATCAACTCAAAGGGAATGGGTTTGTTTTTTTAATCCATACCTACTGAGGCCAGGCTTCTGAAGATTTCCATCATCACATCTCTGTAGAGTTGCCTCTGAGAATGATCCAGCAATGCCCACTCTTCCTGTGTAAAGTCCGCAGCCACATCCTCAACCACTGAGTCCTAAAAATTATCACATATTATGGTTCAGCAAGATACCACGTATTCCAATGTGTGTGAAAGGAAGGGTAAAGCTGACAGTCCTGGAGAACTGACATTTCATGGGGATTTGACACAAGTTTTATGTTCTACTAAGGTCTACTCTAGGGGTTAGCCATCTGTCTCATCCCTTCACTGTCTACATTGACTTCCTAATGGAATGCATCCTGTCTCATAGACTTAACAATCCTTTCAACACAATGAACTTATCTCTCCACGGTCTGACTATAAGCAGTTGTAGTCTCACTCCTCTCTACCTTTATGGTCTAGAATGGTCAGAACACATAGCATCAACTGGACAAATGCTCTACAGTGAACGCCCTATTTCCATATTCGGATCATCTCTTCCTTGTGAAATAAAAAGAAGTTCACCTCCTTGCAAGGACCCTGCAGACTATTTAACAAAACATGAAACACAGAGTGAAAGTAGGATGAAATGTTAACAACTGGGAAAGACTGCAAGACTGGCAGTGTTTCCTTTTGCCCTTCAGCAGCCATGGGGGCTCCAGTGGCCTATACGAAGGGGTAAACCAACCCAAGGCCCGAAGCTTCTCATGTTTTTTTAAAGAACTCCAGGTGATCAGGGGCTGACAAGACCACCTGCTAAAAGGAAAATATTATTTTGAGGAATTATAAATTTTTACAGGTCTCTCACCTACTTTTCAATAACTCTACAAGTGCACTGTCATGCACTCTGTCCCTTCATGGAGACAAGCATGGGTATTACAAAGGTAAACAGAGATCAGCTGAGACACAGTAAATGAGAATCTACATATCAAATTTTCAAACTTTGAGACCCAAAGCTACTGTACAGCAATTATGAGTGACCCTCCCTTCAACAAATCAAACCCACACCCACACACAATGTTATAAGATGACAAAGAGCCTAATCTCTGAAGAATCAGAACAGCATGCTCTTGTGTTTGCTGACCACGAACAAGAGGCTAAGAGTCACATTTTCCAGTAAGTTCACTGATGTGCAGGGGATTTAGCTGTAACACTACTCGTGCATCCTAGGAAACACACACTTACACACCAACCCTGTGGACGATCCACTCCAAAATTTTCTCACTATTGCAGCCCTTGGAAGGCACACAAGCATGATCACCTGAATCCTGACCAATGGCATTGTCTGGGATGCAGGAGTGGCATCCGTAAAATAGCATCAACCATTTAGCTCCCTACATGTAATGATGATACAAAAGGCACCTACATGGCACTTCTGATGCTACAATTTTACTGAACAGCTAATAACTGTAGAACAGATACACTACAGGTGAAATGAGCTGTCCGGGTCACTCCTAATTAATCCTATGATACTGTCACAACAATCTTTGATCCAGTGCCACATTCAAAAGTCTCCTCCACTGCAATACAGCAAGGTTACATATTTTAAAGCCAAGAAAAACCCTTACTTCCATTTCTATAACATATTCATGATAAAATGTTGCATTTATTGAGCAATTAAAATACTTGGAGGGATTTCCAAAAAACTTTCAGCACACTAGTTCATTATTCCTCATGCCCCTCCTAAGAAGATATTGCTTCAAATGGGTTATCATGTGGAAAATTACAATCAATTTATCACTTAGTCAATGTTAACCAAATGGTATGTTGCTGAGCCAGGATCAGAATGCAGGTCAATATGCCGAAGACTAAATTCCTGACAACTACATTTCTCTGCATATGCCTACAGTTTTCTTGTTATTGTGGCTGTTAATCTTTAATTACATGCATGATCTACAGCCTGCTGTGTAATGGGGACAGGAGACAAAGCAAACATCCTATTCAATTCAGACAACATGGATCTTCTCCTGGCAAAGCCCAGTGTCAGGCAAGAATACTTCCCTTGAGGCCCTTTGTAATAATTACACAGCATAAGCAGTGTCTGACCTATAACTTCACAAGGTAGAATGAGAATAAAGAACAGCCCAAGGCTGATTCCTATGAGGCAGAGGGCAGACATGCCATCTCTCTCTGCCATCTTTACCAATTCCAATACCAACTTTCCCTCCCAAAGCATTTTCTACTTCTCTTCTGAGTTCGGCAATTCATTGCAATGGCGACACGGAACTCACAGACAATACTCATGATTATGGGGTTTATTAGGGAAGTAACTGGTTACAATTCAGCCTCAGGAAGGCTTAGGATACAGTTCTTCCATCATGACAGTCTCTTCTCAGCTTGCCCGCCCACCCACCTTCTTGGTCCCTTGTCCTCTGCCCTGCTCGTGCACCGTACAAAGCTGTTTTAGCTCTTCAGGTAAGTATCCTGAACTACACCAGTCTGCCAGGATGCCTAGGCCTGAAGGTGCTCAGCTCTAGCTTTCTGGGTCAGCAAAATTAGCTCCACCAAATGCCACTAGGCACCCTACCCCGCCTGCAAGCCTCCTGACTGGAGGCACTCAGCTTTCTTGCACTGTGGAATGGGAACACCACCATGCAGTCTCTTAATGGTCTTCTGCCAGCCTACTGGTTCTGCTGCCTCTGCTGTTCCATTCCACTGCTGCTGCTTCTGGACATCTTGCTGTCTTCGGTGCTACAACTCTCTGTCTCCCGAGTCACAGGCATCCCAGGTCCAAAAGGCACCCCCCACTCCTGCTTATACTTCTCTGGTTCTGGTGAGATCCTCTCTTCACACCTCTAGTATGGCTCATTTTAAGCCTAGCAGGATGGCAAAGCTGACCAATCCCTTCATTTAGGGTTCCATATGCCTTATTAGCATGGTCCCACCCAATCATTTGGTTGGAGTTACAAAGACTATGGCTAGAAGGGCCATATTAAGTAATTCACTACACCGCACCAGTACATCTGGCTCTGTCGTTTATTTAAACTCTTTAGGTAATATGGACACAGGCCACTTCACACAGGCAAAGCAAATACAGCAGTGAACAAACCAGAAATATCCAGATACACATGGATTCTAACTTCTTTGGGTGTGGGGAGTAAATAAACTAAATATAATGTAAATTTCCCTGGGTGGCACAAGTAGTAAGCGCTTGACTGCTAATCAAAAGGCTGCTGGTTCAATGCCACCCACAGGTTCCTTGGAAGACAGTTCTGGCAATCTGTTCTGACAGATCAGAGCCTTGAAAATCCTATGCAGCTCTGCACACATGGGGTCGCTGTGAATCAGAATTGACTCCACAGCAACTGTTACGGATGGAATTGTGTCTCCAGAAGATGTGTGTCAATTTGGCTAGACCATGATTCCTAGTATTGTGTGGATGTCCTCCATTTTGTAATCTGATATAATTACCTATGTGTTGTAAATTCTAAGCTCTAAGATGTTAAAGACAGGATTAAAGACAGTTAATGAAGCAGCACGAAATCTACAGGATTAGGTTGCATCTTGAGTCAATCTCTTTTGAGATATAAAAGAGAGAAGTGAGCGTGGGGGGCAGGGGACCTCATGCCACCAAGCAAGAGCCAGGAGTGGAGCATATCCTTTGGACCAAGGGTCCCTGCACTGAGAAGCTCCTAGACCAGGGGAAGATTGATGACAAGGACCTTCCCCCAGAGTCCAGAGATAAAAAGCCTTCCCCTGGAGCTGGCGCCCTGAATTCAGACTTCTAGCCTCCTAAAGTGTGAAAGAATAAATTTCTGTTTTTTAAAGCCACCCACCTGTGGTATTTCTTTCATAGAAGCAGTAGAAAGCTAAGAGAACAACTAACAACAACAACATAATGTCATGTGGTGGTAAGATCTATGAAAAATGCAGCATGCTAAGGGGATGAGTAATAGAAGCATATCTACCTTTAGTGAGTTAGTGCAGGGAAAAGTAAAAGTTATTTTATGAAACAACCCAGTGAGACATGGCTTGGTAAGGAAAAATTAATACATTTGTAATTCTAAAAACTTGGAAGTGCTCTGTGATGATTTTGCAAACACTCATATATATTTCAGATGCTGACTTTAAGAGTTTCCAGTGTAGGAGTATAGCAGTGAAAGAGTGCCACTGACCTTCATGGGTTGGAAAGGGAAGATATACTGGTTATTTACAAAATGAAATGGTCATTAGCAAAGGGTAAATATGTACACTGGGGCACTGGAAAAATAAAAGCAGCATGAATAAATACTATCAAAAAAGTAAAGAAAACACACAATAGTAATGACACAAAACACAAATGAAGACTTTCAAGTTTTGGTCTGACAGGAGGTTGGAAGTCATCACTCCTATCCTCAAGAAAAAGCTGACATACTGAACCAAGAGTTTAAGGTCATAGGAAAAGGACTGCCCCCCAAACTGGAGGAACACATAGGCAGATACAGTTATTCCAGAATAGAACCCAAGGAGCAGAGTTCCTATGTGTCCCTCCAGTTTCGGGGACAGTCATTTGCCCCGAGACCGCAATAGCCTAATTAATTGAATTCATTGAAAACAATGATCAGAGCTAAGACTTGAGAGATGCAAAGGAATTACTGAAGGGACAGCTGAGAATAGACTGTTCCAGGAGGAGGAAACACCAGAGCACAGGTCAGCAGATTGGAGTGTCCCTGGTATGTTTTCGGGAGACCCAAACCCCAGCATGACCAGAGCAGTGTGAGATGCTGGAAAGAAAACAGTAGACGAATTTGAAGAGGTGACTGGAGCCAATAGGCGTATCATGTTCTGGGGAAAGTGCTGACTCCTGAAAAGACTCTGGCTTCTCATCTGAGTAAAATGCAGAGCAAATTCATGCCTTTGATCAAAGATGAAAAATGATGTGACAGCTCTTAAAGAATCTGTGTGTGGGGGCAAATGTAGAAGTTCCAAGCCATGTTAGAGGGTTTTGGCCATAATCAGATAAGAAATCATGAAAGCGGGCACATACAAAAAGTGTACAGCAAAGCACGTACTTGCAGAAAACGTCAATACTTTTCTAGTAAAAGCAGGTAAAAACCAAGGACATCTATTATTCCATTCCTAGTCAGTGTTATTGTAGAGGCTGTACCCAATACATACCAAAAAAAGAAAATAAAAAAGGTAAAGAAGAATGTTGAAAAGAAAAAACACCCCAATCTATGTTTTCGGGTTAAATAATTGGATATGTAGAACTTCCAAGGATAGTACAGACGATTTATAGTGGTGACAGTATTCAGATTACAAAACAAGTATCAAGGTAAGGATTATTTTAACTATTTCACTTATATACAGTAGCAACAAGCAGTTGAGTAATTTTAAAAAGATATATTTTTAGTAAAATGTATCAAAAAGGAGTACAGTTAAGAGATTTTAATGAAAAATTATGAAACACTATTAAATGACACAAATAGACTGAAATAAACAAAAAGATAGTACACGCTCTTAGACAACTGTTCTCTGCAAATAGATCACTATTTCCAATGAATTTCCATAAAATCCTAAACAATTTTAAAATGTATATGTAATTGTAAATATCCACAAACAGCCAAGATATTCTAAAGAATAACTCGTGGGCTTGTCCACACGTATCATATATACAATTGTATTCACATATATTTATTTTACAAATGGAGCTGTATCAGAAAGAATGGTAGCATCCTAAGAATACACAATAGATCAACAAAAATAAACAAACATCCCAGAAAAAGTCCACCAATATCTATAGAAAGTTGACACAGTAAGCTCTGCAGAGCAGTGGTAGAAAGCACTCACAATTTAATATGTGGTGCAGAATCAACTAATTGGAGTCCCTGGGTTGTGTAAAAGATTAAGTGCTCAGATATTAAGCAAAAGGCTGGAGGTTGAAGGAAAGATACAGGCACTTTGGAAGAAAAGTCTGGCACTCTACTTCCCATAAATTAGTCACTGAAAATCTTGTAGAGTGAACTCCTACTTTGAAACACATGGTGTTGCCATAAGTCTGAATCAAGTAGAAGGAAAACGTTTGTTCTTTATCAGATAATTATCTACTTAGAATAGTCTATCCCTATGTACTCCACATACAAAAATCAATTCCAGGTAGATCAACTTTAAATATGAAAATGTAAAATTACAACACTTTCAGAAGTTATAAGCAACTGATCCTACGACATCAGAATAGAGAAAAAATCTTAAATAAGAAGATCGAGACGTAAGGGAAAAGACTGACAAATTCAACTATATTAAAATTCACAGCAATTAATCAAAGGGCAGGAAAAATGAGTGAGAAGAAGTTACACACTAGGGGGAAATCTTCCAAAGTTTACGAAAAACAAAACAAAACCAGTCACCATCGAGGTGATTCTGACTCACAGCAATCCCACAGGACAGAGTAGAACTGCCCCCATAGAGTTTCCAAGGAACGGCTGGTGGATGCAAACTGCTGACCTTCTGGTTAACAGCAGAGCTCTCAACCACTGCATCATCCTACAAAGTCACAAAGATAGAAGTTAACGATGGGAAATATGCACAGTGTTTTCAGTAGTGAAGTGGTGTAGGAAACTTGAACGATAAAATCAAAGATATCATTTTATACACTGATTATAAGACCAAATATTACTTCATTAGATAAAAGAAACAAACAAAACCATTGCCGTTGATTCGATTCTGACTCACTGCCACCCTATAGGACAGAGTAGAACTGCCACATACGGTTTTCAAGGAGCGGCTGGTAGATTTGAACTGCCCACCTGTTGGTTACCAGCAGAGCTCTTAACCACTGCGCCACCAGGGCTCCAATAAGCCCATGGAAAAATAAGATATATATGCATATTTTGTGGGAGGGAAAACTTGTAAAATACCTCGGCTGTTTTAGTAAATCTGAACTTGGCTATGATGTGCAACACGGAGATTTCCCCTCACTAGATAATGACTGTGCAAGAGCACTTAAGAGTTTGCAAAGAGACTGAAGAGAATAAGAGCAGCAACATTCGCAAGGGTTATGCTTGAACCACCCAAGTCCTGTAAGCTCTACAATGGGTAGGTAAATTCTGGCCCATTCATACAATGGTAGCTTGCATACATAGCAAGATGGGTAGACTAGACAGACAGACACCAGGATGTATTAAACTCAAAAGCATTCTCAGGAAAACAAGTCACAGAAGAACTCAAACACAGATATAATCAAATTTACAGAAAGCTCACAAGAGGTAAAACTAAACAACACAGACATTACGGATTCAGACTTGGGTGTCACAGTCAGCGATGCTTTAGATGTAACTAAACACTCAAAGGGATTGGTTTCTAGGGTTTGAAGGACTAGGACCATACTGCTGTGGGACATCTCAGTCAACTGGCATAATATACTTCATAAAGTTTCTGTTTTACATTCTAGTTTGGTGAGAAGTGACTGGACTCTTAAAAGCTTGTGAGCCCCCATCTAAGATACAACTATTGTTCTCTACTCCTCTACAGCAAAAGAGAAAGAAGGAAACCAAAGAAACAAGAAATTAGTCTACAAGACAAACAGTCTACATGAACCACAGCCTCATTTACCCTGAGACCAGAACAACTAGATGAGATGTACTTAGCTACCACTACCGACCATTCTGATCAGGGTTACAATAGATGGACCCTGACAGAATGGGAGACAAATGTGGAACACAATCTCATATTATTAAAACAAAAACCTAAACAACAAAAATAAGACAGACTTACTAGAGGATTACCCAAGAACGTTACCCTGAGATACTCTTTCAACCTTGAACCAAAACCAGACCGAGGTCATCTTTTAGCTACATAACATATTGGCTCACAAAATAAAGAGCATCACCTGTGAGTACTGTGCTCCATTAAAAAATCAGCCATATGAGACTCAATGGTCAACAATTTTTTTGAAACCACCGATAACGTATGGGGGCAGGAAAACTAGACTGATGCAAAGGAAACAACCAGAACAGAAATACTGAGAATGTTCACAAATCGTGAAGAATGTAACCAATGTCACGGAACAATCTGTGGAGAAATTATTCAATGGGAACCTAAATTGCTGTGTAAATCTTCATTAAAAAAAAAATGAAATATTATTACAAAAAAGACTTGGCTGTCAAAGTTATAATAATAGAAATAATAATAAAGTTCTGAAATGCACAGAGCAATCATCTCCAAGCAGGAGGTAGATTGTATCAGGGTGGGACACTGGGAGGTCATAAAAACTGACAAGGTCTATTTATTACCAGGGATTTAAATTCTTAATAAACTACATAACGAACTGTTTATGCAGTCCTAGTTTATGATACAGTTGACAATAAAAAAAAAAAAATGGCTTAAAACAGGAAACAAATACAATTTTCACATAATAATATTACAGTCACGTGAAAACTCCTTCATTTTGATTTACCTTGTCTTAATTCAGAAGGGCTCGTATGTCTCAACACTTGATACCTGGATCTTAGAAATTTACATTTATACTCACTAAAGCAAGCTTTATAAGAGTGAAATACTGGACACAATCAAGCGTCCATTCTTGGCAGTATGGTCAAAACAATAAACAAAGATCAACCGTATACGGTACTAGGAAGTTTTACAAGAAATTAGATTTAAGCTCTCTATCTATTGTTAGAAAAACTTCAGGGAAACGTGTTAAGGAAAAAGAAAGTGTAAATTCCAAGCCACCTTTTGTGTAACAAAGTAGGAGAATTAACATGTTTTACTTTTGAATTTTTACTCTTACATCAGTTAAAATAGGCATTTTCAGGGTCTGAGAAGTTTATATCCATTAAATTGAAAAATTCTCAGTAGAAACAAACTGATCTAGAAATTTTCTTCCAATGGAAACTGTAAACCCAAGACGTTAAAAATACACTATCTCATATGCTGAGCTTATCTAGCAAAACAGAACACTTTTATTTTAATTTCCCATTCGAGACAGTGGAAAACCTGGTGGTGTAGTGGTTAAGAGGTATGGTCGCCGCTAACCAAAAGGCTGGCAGATCAAATCCACCAGGCGGTTCCTGGCAACCATATGGAGCAGTTCTACTCTGTCTTACAGTGTCCCTGTGAGTTGGAATCAATGGCAACGGGTTTGGTTTTGGTTATCCGAGACTGTGGAGAGCAAGTGAAAATTACAGGGACTCACTACCAGCTCTAGGCAGAGATGGGTGGGAGGACAGACACAAACTGGGGAAACATGCTTCCCCCACACCGGAAAGCCTCAAAGAAAGCATCCCTCCAAGAAGGATGGATCTGGAGACCCCACACACGATCCAACTGGACTCACTGTCCTTTGACTCATTTCACTGGTGAGTTCATGAGAGGATCAAGCCCCACCAGGACCCCATTAACAGTCAGGGTCTTTACTACCAACTCCCTCCCCAGTTATCCACCACATCATACCGTGTGAGAGGTGGAGCTGCAGTTACAGAACGGCACAGAAAAGGCTCCAGTACCTCAGGGAAGCCAAGAAAACTGTGTGCAGGGAGGGACAAGGATGGCTCTGGAGGATCTGGGGCTCAGTCTCCTCAGCCAGAGCTGCTCCGTCTTCAGACTCTGGTCAGGAGGTTCTGTCATTCAACACAGAGAACCAAGACCCAGGACAGGGATGTTAAAAGCCCATGATGCATTAGAGTCACAGAAGGACGGTGGCCCCAGGCATCCAAGGCTTGAAAATCCATGTGTGTAGAGGAAGGAGCCAGTGACAGTGGACCAGGGCAAGCAGGATGCCTCTTAGGTCTGAGTTCCATGGTCTCCTCTGCCACCTATTTACCTCACTGAGGAACCTCAAGGCCTGCAGCACACACTACCCCAATAATTCATAACAGCCTCACCCCCTAGAGTTACAGTACCCCAGTTCTCTGTAATACGCACCATTTCCTGGCTTCAGCTTCTGAAAGTCTAAGTGAATGTGCTCTCTAAGCCCAGGAAGCCACTTCAAGTAGAGGAATGGCAGGGGAAGCAGAGCCACTAGGCAGCCTGGAGGCAGATGAATGTTTTGTCCACACACCAGTCAGAGCAGCTAAATCCTTACTTCTGATTGCAGGGATGTGTAAGGTTGCCCTCGGTCCACAGCTGCCTAGGCTGGAGTAACTCTCCCTGTGCCACACCTGGGACCTGAAATGGAAGAAGGAGACAGTGGTGAGTAAGAAGGAAGTGACAGGTTCCTGGTCTTCAGCTCTTTCCCTGGACAGGGCCTCCCTCCAGGCTCAAGGCCATGCTCCACTCTGAGGGCCTTCGCACTTAAGGCAGATCCTGCTCCAGCCTTCCAGAGCACACACTTGCATTGTTCATGCAGCTCCACAGGCCTCTTCTCTGGCCACAATGTCACAGAAGAAGGGGCTTCCTCATCCCACAGCACCAGAGGCATCCAGGCCTGCCCAGGCTGGAACACGTGAATCTGGCTTCCCCCATGGTATCAGGGGTCCAACACTTAGGTTGAGGGTTCACCTACGAAGTTAAGGGTTCACCTCTGTAGAACCTACACACTTGTATTTGATATAAACATTAGTGAATTTTAACAATGTATTTTTTCAGTTTAAGTCAATGAACTCATTACGCATCACTGATTTCTAATTATGTGCAGTTGAAACTCTTTCGGTGTGGTTTATGTTTTTTAAAACTTTGATTTCACTAATACCATGATAATATGTAATCAGTATTTTTCCTGTTAATTTTGTAAATAACATTTCTTTCTTCTCCTTGAGAATTTTACTTTTTTTTTTTTCCTTCACTCTCTATCCACGACACCAACACTCTTTCCAGGAAACTGGAAACATTCTCTTTCAACCATACAATAATTGATCAACCAATAAATCAGAAAATCATTCATTTTTCTCTAAGGAGCAGCCCCCACATCTGTTCCTGTTTCTTTCCTCCCCTCCACCCCACCCAGCTGACACCTACTGATTTATTTCTTGGTCTCTGTGTAAATGTTTTCTCTCTCGCATGATCGTATTGTATACCAGTTGCTGCTCTTTAAGCATTATCCAGCCTGTTATTCATTTCTCTAACAGCATTCTCTGGTTTTAACTCACATCCTATTTATACAATAGTTATTTTCAGCATAAACTGGGAGCTTGATATAGAGAATCACAAACCCAAACCAAGATAAAAATCCACATTTTCACAATTTACCCTGGGGTATCCACATCCAAACACGCACTGCTCTGGAGCCTGTAACTGAAGGAAGGAATATTCTGTCACCGATGCCCTGTCCAAGCCTGCCCACCAGCCCTCTCTGCGGCCCCCACCCCTCTGCTGGCTTCAGTGGTCCAGCCAGGCCCTGCTCGCCTCTCTCAGCCTCCGGCCTGTGCGGGGCTTATCACCTAAGATAGGTAACGCCCCAGTGACTCCGGAAAACCAAAACAAGTATGACATTTATCATTTTATCTCCTCCTATAACAGAAGTCCAGAGGTTACAGTGCAGGATGTGACAGGCGCTCTGTGAAGTAATCAGTGACCCAGGCTCCTTCCTGCCTGCTCTGCCTCCATCACCAAACGCCTGTATTCTCACTGTGGCAGCTGGCTGCTGTATGAGAAAGAGTAAGACTGAAGGATGAGGGCAAAGCCTATTTTCTCCTTCTTAGCTTTGCACTGTTTACATGGGAAGGAATGACACCAAGTGACTTTGCCTATGTTATTGCTACACTGTGTGTCAAATAGCCACCCTTATTATAGCAGAGGAGCCCGATGGTGCAATGGTTAAAGTGCCCGGCTGCTAATCAAAAATTCAGTGGTTCCCACCCACCAGCCACTCCATGGGAGAAAGATGTGGCAGTTTACTTCCCTTAAGATCTACAGCCTTGGAAACCTTATGGTGCAGTTCTACTCTGTCATATAGTGTCACTCTGACTTGGAATTGACTCCATGGCAGTGGGAGTATGATGGAAAATGGGGACAGTGATTGTTCAGAGGTAGAATTCATGCCCCTCACACGGAAAACACAGCTTCAATTCGAGACCAATACACCTCATACACAACCACCACCGGTCTGTCAGTGGGGACTTGCATGTTCCTGTGATGCTGAACAGGTTTCAGGGGAACTTCCAGTCTAAGACAAACTAGGAAGAAAGGCCAGGCGATTTACTTCCATAGTTTTAAAAAATGGTCAAGGGACTTAGACATTTCTCCAGAGAAGATAACCAAACGCCCAACAAGCATATGAAAAGACACTCAGGGTCATCTAGGCACTAGAGAAATGAAAATCAAAACTCATGGGATACCACTTCACACCCACTAGGATGGCTACATCAGAAACTGGGAAAGAACAAGTGTTGGTGACGATGTAGAGAAAGCGGAACCCTCACGCACTGTGGGTGAAAACAGAAAATAACACAACCACTGTGGAAAACAACTCCGCAGCTCCTCAAAAAGTTAAACACGGAATTAGCATAAGACCCAGACACTCCATCTTTAAATTGGCAGTTTGAACCCAAACTATGTGAAAGCAGGGATTCAAAAAGATACTTGCATACCAATGTGCATTACAACCCTGTTCACAACAGCCAAAAGGTGGTAACAACTCAAGTGGCCATCAACAGATGAATGGATAATACAAAAAACACATCACATGAAAGAGAAATTTCGTTCATGCTTCAGCATGGACGAACCCTGAAAACATTATGCTAAGTGAAATCAGTGAGACATAATAGGAAAAATGTTATACGATATAACTTACATGAAATAAGAAGCAAAAGCATAGAGACCGAAGTCTGTTAATGGCTACCAGGGACTCAGGGAGGAGGGAATTGGGAGTTATTGCTTAAGGGGTGCTGAGTTCCTGTTTGAAATGATGAAAAAGTTTTGGAATTAGATGATAGAGTTGGTTGCACAACGTCGTTAATATATTTAATGTCAGTAAACTGTACAGCTAAAAATAGTGAAAATGGAAAAACTTCAGTTATATATATTTTATCACAATATTTTTTTTTTTAAAGAAGCCACTGCCCTCTTCCTTTTAAACATTTAGAGATCATTTTAAAGGTGCAGACCTCTAAGCATTCTTCTAGGAGCTATGAAATGAAAACTACAGGCGAGTAAGCAGGATACTGGATATGTGGAATGCTGGCCACAGGGTTTAAGCACACTCAAGTCCTGGGACCACCATCAACTCAGGGCAGATCATTTGAACAAAGAGAAAGGTCAAAGTGCAGATGGCACACTATGAAGCTCTTCAGTTCAGAATCCACAAAGCCTCAATCATTCCCATAAGGAAATGAAGGGAAACTTAGTGTAGAAAGGCAGGGTTTCTCAAGAGACTCACAATGGAAAATACAAAGCCATCACAGGGCAGGTCCTGACTTCTACCTCACCCAGCCAGACCAGGATCCTGTAGTTCATTCACATTATGCCCCTTTACAAAGCCCTCTGAGCAGGACACAAGCACACCGACTCCTTCTGAGGACAAATCCTTGTGTATGAATGGTAGCTAACATAAAACACTCATTTCTCCAAGGGTCCACCGTGCCCTGGTGGTGGGGGGGAGGGTTGTTGTTTATTTTCACACAATATGAGGGGAGGCAAGAGGCATATGAATCAGTTTCAATTGAGGTAAGGCTATGGCTGGGTCCATGTAACATCATTTTCAGCAAGTTACACGTCCCTAATTTTAATCTATGATTAAAGTATAAGGACCAACGTTTATTAGCTACTAGCAGGGACTCAGGGGAGCAGAGAACAGGGAGTTACTGCTTAAGGGGTACCGAAGATATGAGATCCACTGCAGATTTTATATTTCTGTGGATAAAAAAAAATAGAAATGAAAAAATAATTCAACAAGTGGTTTTCTTTAACCAAGTGATAAACAGTATGTTCTATCCACCAAGTAACGTATAATAGATAAACCAGAGAAACGATCCATCCCATTATCGATGACAAAGACTCAATAAGAGGCTTTAAAGAAAGGTTAGGATCTAACCTTGTGATCATAACAGAAAGGATCGGTTCTCACCTGAGAGAGAAACAAAACTATGTCACAGACTCTAACTTGCCTTGGGTCAAACATCTTAATAAATGACAGAATGCAGGTGATTGGGTTCTAGAACTGGATTCAAAGAATCAAAAAGGCAAGTAAGATACACACCACAGAAAGGACACTGGCAGAGGGTTTCCTAACTGAGAAAACTTGAAACAAGTTAAAAACCAACAACAAAGAATTACTTATAAGGTCATTATATAAGCACACACATACGCATATACATAACTAGTTACTATTTTTACTACTATTAACATGATGATGTTATTGTTAGGTGCAGTCAAGTCGATTCTGACTCCTAGCGACCCCATATGACACAGTAGAACTGCCCCATAAGTTTTTCTACACTGTAGTCATTAGGGAAGCAGATTGCCAGGTCTTTGTCTCATACAGCAGCTAGGTAGGTTAAACTTCCAAACTTTCAGTTACCAGCTGAGCTCTTAACCATTCCACCACCAGGATTCCTTATTAACATGATAGTGTGAAAATGCTTAAGACCCTGGGAAAAACATGTAAAACTAATTCATGAAATGATCAAATGTCTTTTACAGAAACCTAAGGTACACACCTACCAACAGTATAGTTAACCAAATTGAGAGCAGCTGTCTTTAAACCATGGATTTCCTGGCCGGAATTTCACTATCATTTTCTCTTCATGTTTTTCAGTATTTTAGTGCTATGGACGTATTTAAATTCTACCTCTGTGGTAAAGAATTAGATCTCACCTAAAGAGAGCTCTGTGGCAGCTGGGTGGCACAGTTAAATGCTCAAATACTAGCCAAAATGTTGTTGGTTCCAACCCAACCAGAGGCATCACAGAAGACAGGCCTGCTGATCTGCTTATGAAAGGTCACAGCCTTGAAAATCCTATGGAGCAGTTCTACTCTGCACACATGGGGTCATTATGAGGCAGAATGGACTCAATGGCAACTAACAATCCCAAAGAGAGTTCTGGCCTTTGTCCTGGCTCCTGGGAGGGAACCTCTAAACCAC